AACAAACAAACAAAAAAAGTTTAGGTATTCATATAATTCATGTTATAATTTTTTAACCGTGGATTTTAATAAGAAATATTTTACTTCACAATTTAATTTGTGCAAATTAAAACTTGACCATAGCAATGGTTGTGTAACAAAAATAAAAACTGCTGTTCCATATTTTAAAAAAATTGTATTGATAATATAGAAATAAAATTATTGAATTATTTCAAATATTATTATTATTAAATATTATTTATTATGTTTATTATGATAGACATAGTCCCTCTAACTATTAATTTCCTTTGAATTTAATGTTGTATTCACCGTTCAGCAGAAGTATGATTGTAACTTCATGTGTTGTAAGTAAATGTCATTAACATTAACCCTTGTTTCTTTCTGTTTCTGCTAAGGGTCATGCGGAGGTGTTGGTGCAGTGGCATCCTTGCTCTGGATGGTATGTATATTATTTGAAGTTTATTGTACTTAGAAAATTGACAGAACTAACAAAAATATAAGCAGAGAACAATTAATAAACATTACATAAACATTTATTCAGTTTTAACTAAAGTTGCAGTTTGATCAGGACTTCAGACTTCAATCTAATGTCATTTGAAATGTGGTGTGCTTTTAATTTTTATCTATTCTTTAATGCTTTCATCCACTCATAGTTTCAAGTATTTACTTTTTTATCAAGCCTTTGTTGAGAACTGCATTTTTGGTTTTGTTTTTGTCTTAAACAATGAGATTATAATTGATTGTGAACACTCAATCAAACGAGTAAAAAATGTGACACATTGTGACTAGTGTGAATAATTAAATCCTCTGCTGAATGCATATTTTCAAACAATTATATTATATAATATACAAAATACATTATATGCATTTCATAACTGAACTACATCTTATTGTACAGAACCAAGACAGTATTTATGTTCCAGTAATGAACATTGTGACTTTTTGCTGTTTTACAGTGGGAAAAAATGGAAAAATTCCTGGGAGCCAAGAGAAAATTTTCAAAGTCCATCCTGAAGATGTGTGTGTGTGTGTGTGTGTGTGTGTGTGTGTGTGTGTGTGTGTGTGTGTGTGTGTGTGTGTGTGTGTGTGTGTGTGTGTGTGTGTGTGTGTGTGTGTGTGTGTGCGTGTGTGTGTGTGTGTGTGTGTGTGCGCGTGTGTGTGTGTGTGTGTGTGTGTGTGTGTGTTTGTGTTCCAATGTATTGTTTGTTGCTAGGTTGTAAGATGCCTTGAGTTACACTTTGTCTTTCAGTGTTAAGCCATTGATTCTTGTGTTCTGTTTCTCAAAACTTGTTATTGGACTGAGAGATCTAATGGAAAACCTCTGTCTTTGCTACATTTAAAAGCAATAAATAGCAGAATTTATCAAATTAATCATGATTTTGTGTGCCTCTGGTTCTTTTCCATGGAGTCCCACCCTTTGCTGACACACACACTAGTATTCCTATCATAATGGGGGCATTCCATAGACAGAATGGTTTTTATTCTGTTCAAACACCAGACCTACCCCTCACAGAAAACATTCTTGCATTTTTAAAATACATAATAAATCTGTATGATAGGAAAACCAGTACACATACGCACACACAAACAATCTCTATCTCACACACACAGACACACTCTCATACAGACACTCTCACACAGACACACATTCTTTCACACATGCACACACACACTGACACAGATGCTCTCTCTCACACACAACGATCGAATGTTCCTTATTACCCTAACCTACCTATCCATCTATAAACTGGATTTTTTTACAGAAGTAAAATCAAAGTCCTTTCAGGCAAGTCATGCCACTCGGCCGCCATCTTAGCAACGCCTCCGGGCAGCTATTTCGGACTTAACAAGACCAGGCTCCAATCTAAATGAATGGGCAGTCAGAACTGCACTTTCACTGGCAAACATTAACAATTTTTTTTTTATATACATATAAACTGCATGTATAGAAGCAGCAGTAAAATATGATAAAAATCGCTGAAAAAGTTTGATGACTTTGGCCCAAAATAAGGTTTAAAACGCCGTTTTCCCACAGGTTGTACTTTTACTGCGCATGCGTTCTCTAGCTCTCTGTCACGCGCGCGCTGCACAGTTTGAAACACAGTATGTGCGCGCTCTAGCTCGCTCGCTCTAGATTCCTGGAGATTTGAACTAATTTGCGGGCATCAGCGAGCCTCTATCAATCTGCAGGAGGAGACACCCGGAACTTCTGGGAGACTTGTGATGTCTGATATTTATACAACACACATACACTGCATATCAAATCTGCCGCCTTTTCAAACAATAACGTGATTTAAATGTTTCCCGGCTTGACCGTTAAAAGTAGACGATTGGCTGTCCAGCGGGAGGGGCGGGCATTTGCATATAACCGCCACCTTTGGTGTTACAGGTTTTTCCCTATACATTTGTATTAAGGACTGAGGAAGTGGCATGTCTCTATATAAATAGTCTCTGGTAAAATCCTGCAACACGATTATATATGCTCACACACACTCTCAAACACACACACACACACACACACAATCTCTCTCAGACACAGACATACACTCTCTCAAACACAAAGACACTCTCACAGACACTCTCTGTCACACATGCACATACAGACACAGAAGTAAAATACCTGCAACACGATTCACAGTGATTATATTTGCATATGCTCACACACACTCTCTCAAACACACACACTCTCACACACAAACACTCTCAAACACACACACACACTCTTAAACACACACAATATCTCTCAGACACAGACATACACTATCTAAAACACACAGACACACACACTCTCACAGACACTCTCTTTCACACATGCACACACAGACTCTCTCACACAGACACAGATGCTCTCACTCACACACACACACAACGAATGTCCCTGACCCCTAAGACTAACCCTAACCCTAACCCTAACCTACAGTACCATCTATAAACAGGATTTTTTGCATAAGTAAAATCATACAACAGTGATTCACAGGGATTATATTTGCATATGCTCTCTCTCTCTCACACACAAACACACACACACACACACACACACACACACACACACACAAGGAATGTCCCTGACCCCTAAGACTAACCCTGACCCTAACCCTAACCCTAACCCTAACCTACAGTACCATCTATAAACAGGATTTTTTGCATAAGTAAAATCATACAACAGTGATTCACAGGGATTATATTTGCATATGCTCTCTCTCTCTCACACACAAACACACACACACACACACACACACACACACACACACACACACAAGGAATGTCCCTGACCCCTAAGACTAACCCTGACCCTAACCCTAACCCTAACCCTAACCTACAGTACCATCTATAAACAGGATTTTTTGCATAAGTAAAATCATACAACAGTGATTCACAGGGATTATATTTGCATATGCTCTCTCTCTCTCACACACAAACACACACACACACACACACACACACACACACACACACACACAAGGAATGTCCCTGACCCCTAAGACTAACCCTGACCCTAACCCTAACCCTAACCCTAACCTACAGTACCATCTATAAACAGGATTTTTTGCATAAGTAAAATCATACAACAGAGTGATTCACAGGGATTATATTTGCATATACTCTCTCTCTCTCTCTCTCTCTCTCTCTCTCTCTCTCTCTCTCTCTCTCTCTCTCTCTCTCTCTCTCACACACACACACACACACACAACGAATGTCCCTGACCCCTAAGACTAACCCTAACCCTAACCCTAACCTACAGTACCATCTATAAACAGGATTTTTTGCATAAGTAAAATCATACAACAGAGTGATTCACAGGGATTATATTTGCATATACTCTCTCTCTCTCTCTCTCTCTCTCTCTCTCTCTCTCTCTCTCTCCTCTCTCTCTCTCTCTCTCTCACACACACACACACACACACAACGAATGTCCCTGACCCCTAAGACTAACCCTAACCCTAACCTACAGTACCATCTATAAACAGGATTTTTTGCATAAGTAAAATCATACAACAGAGTGATTCACAGGGATTATATTTGCATATGCTCTCTCTCTCTCTCTCTCTCTCTCTCTCTCTCACACACACACACACACACACACACACACACACAACGAATGTCCCTGACCCCTAAGACTAACCCTAACCCTAACCCTAACCTACAGTACCATCTATAAACAGGATTTTTTGCATAAGTAAAATCATACAACAGTGATTCACAGGGATTATATTTGCATATGCTCTCTCTCTCTCACACACACACACACACACACACACACACACACACACACAACAAATGTCCCTGACCCCTAACCTACAGTACCATCTATAAACAGGATTTTTTGCATAAGTAAAATCATGCAACACAGTGATTGACAGGGATTATATTTGCATATGCTCGCTCACACACACACACACACACACACACACACACACACACACACACAATGAATGTACCTAACCCTAAACCCACATATCCATCAAAACAGGATTTTTCACAGGAGTAAAATCCTGCAACAAGTTGAATCACAGCCATTATATTTGCATACACTTGTCTGTTTAATTATTGGTTACAATTTTTTTTTAAATCAATATGAACGATGTGTATATTAATTTTTATGTATTGTTATGAACTATAATCCAGCTTTGGCCACTTGAGAGCAAAATGCAACAATGGGTTATAAAATTAAAAACACCAGTATCAGCATTTTTGGGGCTCTATGTTCACGTTAATTATCGTTAAGGACATAGATCATGGTGCAAAATAATAATAATAATATATATATTTGTAATATATAAATGATAAATACACTGTTTTCTACAAAATCTGTATTTTGTATTGTTGTTCATGAGTACAACTGACATAGTTGTCATTAGTTTTATTAAATTACATAATACATTTTAAAAAGGAATAAAACAGAGATTACATATTGAGTCTGTGCATATAAATTAATATGAAATATATTGCCTTCAAGATCAAAATGTATAAGTTAATATAAATATTTATTACATGTGCAATAAATAATAACAAATTAGTTTTAACAGTTCAGGTGTAATGTAATGCCACAAGTAAAATCTGAAATATTAAAGTAACAAGCAAGCAACAATGGTGACACAATGTGGCACATGGATAATGTAGAGCCTTCTGTTATCCAAATCTGCAAAGAATTTGAACATGTTGGTGAGAGAAAAAAAACAACAACAGACACAGTAGCTCAGGGTTAGAATGACTTTTACTAATTTATTATTTAATTCATCTGAAAAATATTTAATTTCCAGACTCAAAACTCAAGAGTCTGATTTTTGGAAGATTTAATTCTTCCAATGTTATGCTAAAACTTTAAGACTCTTCTTCAGAAAGTTCTGGACTGCTGTTGTCCTCACTCTCCTCTTCAACATCTTCCTCCAGCATGAAGAAGGAAGGGTCTGTGTTGTTGACACTGCCATAGGTGCTGGTGACTGCTGCAAGTTTTTGATGCAGAATGTGCCGCTTGTGTAAGAGACAGCAGTATAGCCCCCTGTGTGCCTCTTTGGTCAGCTCTCTGGGTGGATCTTAAGTAAAAAGTGAAGAAAATTGACATTGATAATTAGACAGCATTTCATAAAAACACAAAACAAACAAAAAATAACAGCTCATAGGTAAAGTGATTTAAAATTTTAGATTTGAAGCAATATTTACAGGAAACTATAAGATCCTAGTTAATGACAACTTGCATAAACATATTTTTACATATAAAATAATAAAAAATCTTTATCATACATACTACGGATCTTGATGTCCTCTTTAGTCTCCCGAAGGAGACTGTCCAGTTTCTCCAATGTTTTTTTTAGATGTTGATAATGCTGAGTCATCTCTTTTACAATTATTATCTTCTCCTCCTCCATCCGCCTTACCAGCATGACTTGGTCAAACACTCGCCTCTTCAAGCGGAGACTCACCACTATTTTTGAAAATAAAAGTGGAGGAAACATTTACTCTAACACACAACATATTCAGCTTTACGTCTAGCACAGTGTTCATTAGGCATTTTGAGCTCCTTGAGAATAATATTGATTAAGTACTTTATAAAATATTTAAGGGTAGTAAATATAGAAAATATCCTAACTGTATCATCCCTTAAGTATGCATATAATAATCCAGGCAATACACCAAATTGACAACAACTGTAACATCACACTACAATATAAAAGAAAATTAAAGAAATGCCCATCCCAGAATTAAGATATGTTTTTTTTTTTTATTCATGAAAGACATATTGAATGATGTATGGCGTCTAATTTGTAGGCATATTTCATGCTTGGGTTGGAATTTGCTATTTCATGGTAGATATGGCTTTCATCTCAAATGTGTTTGGTTATTGCAGATGTTATCCACCTTTTTCTGACTTGACGGTTTTCTACTTCCTGCTGTCCTTTTTCACTAATTGTATCTTAATTTCAATCAATGTTTCATCAACCAATTGCCTGGTTTTAATAAATAAGAAGTATAGCTAGTAAACAGATGATCATGACGGAGGCGACAGCGCGCAAACTGGACTTTGGTCTCATGAATGAAACTCGGCGTAACGTTATTATGCCTAACCTCACAGGCCTGAGTGAGAAATATAGACTATGCATCTTTGAAAGCATAGGTAGCAGGAGTCAAAGGGCCAACCAGCCTAACCTTTTAGAACTGTTATTCTGCAGCAGTCGGGGTGATTGAGACTGCCGGATGTTTGCAGGAGATCGTGCAGTCATGCATCAGCTATCCTTTGGAAGTTATGAAGCAAAGAAAAACGTTCATTTTGTTTTTATCTGTGATTTAATAAAAAATAACGTTATCAGATCACATTTGATGAATGTTTTTTTCGATTTAGTTTAGCAATGTGGGGATGACACAATCGAAAACACATGGCAAAAAAGCATAGACCAGAATCGAAGCGGAAGTTGACTACTGGTATCGTCGTCATGGTGGCTTGCATTGTTTAGAGCAGAAAAAGGTGGATAAAAAGAAAAGTGATGACCACTACTAGTATAGAATGTGTGTTACATCAGTAACATTAATCAGATTATCCCTATATCATATGGCAACACTACAGATTATATTTCAGATAACACCAGAATATATTATGCTTTATACTTTACTGTGTGTTGCACCTTTTTTTACAGTGTGGTAGTGTTAAATTGCTGACTGCTATTACTTGTATTAACAATCAACGGAATTTCGTGAATTTAAAAAAGTAGAAAAATACACAATACAATACTTACCATCTCCTTGTGCTTCCCAAGGCAGAATAAAATCATCAGAGAGACTGCATGCTGCTTCGGTGTCGATTTTCTCTTCACAGCCAGGAATGGTGTTGTACAGCACTATCTTCTCTCTAAGTGTCTTTTTGAGCTCACCAAGTCTCCTCCGTTTGCGTTGCCTTGTTTGGTTGCTGTCTGTAAGGATAAAATAAAATATTAGAAACAATTTTTTTTCTCCAAATTTCAAGTTGAGTGATGTAGCAGCAAATACCATTTTGCCGATACAGATCATGCTTCTTTCTTCGGATGGAATAAATAATCTCATCGATTTCTCCCTGGAGCTCTTCCTGGCTACTGTGAGTACTGCGTCTCTCTTGAAAACCAGAAATAAGCAAAGTCGACCGTTACAGAAAACACAGCATCACTGCAAAAATGTATATGGAAATAAAGTACCAATTTATACACCTGCGACTAGATGACATACCAGTGGCTGCCCATTGCTTGACATCACACACCCACCGATCTGCATCCTCCATAGAGATGTTTAACTCCTGCTTGAGACTCTCAAGATTGGCTGCTTCAAATTCTGCTCTTTGTGTAGTCTATTTAAAAAAATTAAAATGACAGAAAACATAACGTCACTACAAAATTAACCACAAATGCAAAAATGCAGGGAGAGTGCGATCACAGTCATTGCCTTTTATGCAGTCAAGATTATACATTTGGTGAATTTGCAGGGACCAGCATAACCGGAGTGCAATGGATGGACCACTTTCTCGATTATTGTGTCTCCAGGGCCCAGAAAACACCTCAGATCCGGTTGGTTAGTGTGCAATGTAGGCTTCTTACTTTGACAAATCTTTTCGCCAGTGTCTTGTGAAGACTCTGCACCTTCCTATGGTTCCATCCCATGGCAAGCACAGTTATCATATCTCCTCTGCCTATAATAAACAAAACCGATAAGAACAAATCAATTCTACAATCTACCATTGTGTGTACAACACAAGGGTTAACCCTTTTTTCAACCAACCAACCTGACTTGGTCATGTACTTTGTAGTAAGAGCTGCCCTTGAAAGGAAGCTATTGACCTGTTCCACCTCTTCACCAACAGTATTTCCTGCACCATCCTGGCTTCTACCGCCCCACCTTACCTGCTCCAAAGAATACGATCAAGACCTTTATCATTCAAATCTTGTTTTTGAATCCTCAATTGAATTTGGCCATGAGCAAATGTTGATGTTTAATATGAGAAATTATAAAATGTTCGGAGGTAGGGTAATAATGAAAGAAAAGCATTCACAACTGCAATTGTGCAGTTGGAACTTTTGGAAGGGTTTAGGAAGCATATCCTACAAACAGCTGTTAAACCAGAATTATCAGTAGGATCACTAATAGTAATGTTAACTAAAAGTTCATAAGCGTTGTGTCTGTGTATATGCATGTTTTATATATATATATATATATATATGAAGAGTTCAGATGCAAAAGCCTCTAAATGCCATTTGAAATTTTCTTCTAAAATGACCATTTTTATCAACCATGTATATTTAAGTTCAGTAATTTCACTTAAATGAAAATTAATAGGCAATCTTCATTGCCATTTAAGTGAAATCACTGAACTTAAATATACAAGCTTGATAAAAATGATCATTTTAGAAGAAAATTTCAAATGGCATTTAGAGGCTTTTGCATCTGAACTCTTCATATATATATATATATATATATATATATACACACACACACACACACACACACACACACTAAATAAGTGGTTTTAAACATGTCCCTGAGGATACACATTTTGTATATCTCACATATGTCACACTTGATTTAACTTATCAGCTCACTAGTAGATACTGCAAGACCTGAATTGGGTGTGTCAGATAAGGGAGACACACTGCACACAATGCAGTGCTGGGGTCCTCCAGGACAAGTTTGAAATCCACTGCATTAAAGTTGTAAAGTGCACTATTTTTTTAAACGTGCATATTTCCATAGATAAAAATAAAGCTAAATTTTTCTGATGCTGCAATGATACGTTTCTAAAAACTTTAAACATAAACTTTTTCACAGTACCTCACATTTGCCAGTGTGAGCCTTGGCATGCATTACAGAGAGAAAAGGCTTCATCATGGTCAGTGGTTGGAGCTCAGATAACTTCTCTGCCATCTTTTCCAAATAAGGCCAGTACCTGTAATGGGAAAATATCCAAAACTGGTAAGGAGACAAACCAGGACCTATGTGACTTGCTACCATATTAATTTTCTAATTCCATAATATATTAAATGCGTGTTATTCCCACCCATGGCATATATCATTAAAGGTAAAACATCAGTATTTATTCAATTTATTTGGCAATGGCTATCTACCTGCAAGCAATGTCCATACAAAAGAATGTTGCATTTGCAGCTTGTGCCAGCTCCTTCTGCAGGAACATTGGGTAGGCATATATTTCACCACGGTAGTGATTCAAGCCTTGCAGCAAGATTCCATGTCTGCACACAGCTATTTGAAGGCCCTCTTCGTCCACCTTGGCCCTGGACTTCTGTGATATTTCTCTGCCTGCTGTAAATGTTGCTGGTCCGCAGACATCATGACCGGTCCTCTGAAAGTAGAAAAAATATGTTACCCCAGGACAAGTAAAAATAAATAAAAGGGTTATAGAGTTGAAATCCTTACACTTAACATCTGGCTTCTTATTTGGTCAACAAACGCAGATACTTTGGCATCTGGAGCAATGAACAGTCCATCAAAAAGAGATGGTTCGTCTGTCCTAAATGAGGAATTTATCGCCAAAAAAATTACAATCATAATTAAACGTTGCATTCACCTAAATTAATATATGACAATTAACAATAAAGGTGCCACACATTTTAGTCTGTATGAACTACATTTGATATGGAACACTGTGTTTAGAGTATCAGCATGTATTTGTCCTGTGGAAATTAATGCCTTAATTTGGCATTAACTTGAGTAAGAAGTACAAAAAACATACTGTTTGAAGTAAAAAATAAATAAAGAACACCTTTATTGTTGTTCATGTCTTGTTTTTCATGGAGAAAAAGTTCCTGAACAATTTACCAGATTGCGGTCATAGACCTGTAATATTACAAGCTTGTTTAAAACAGTACTATATGAAATTCAAACACTTTGCAAAAGAATTGCAAAAAGAAAATTGCAAAAGCATTTATGTTTAAATGTGAAGCAATCACACATGCTTTAAAATAAAAGTATAATTATATAATGACTACAGCCACCATTTTTGTGTTGAAGAAATATGTTTAGATGCCACAAGATTATTGTTAGTTTTTACAACAATAAGGTAAAGCATAGTTTCTTTATAAATAACTATCAGTTCATCCAACCGATAGCTATACTTGCTTTTCCTTTAGAGGGTAATGACATGGGGGGTGTAGTGCCTATCCCATCTAGCACTGGGTGAGAGGTGACATGCAGCATGAACATATCTGCCACTCTATTGCAAGGCTAGACAAAAGACCACTGCACCACCCTATATAAATAAAATGTTAAAAAAATTAAAAAGATTCCACTTACCCTTTTGACTTTTTGAACCGGTAATGTTTTCTATTACCGTCTACAGATATAGCCAGCATGTCTGGTGTGCATGCTGGGCATTTAAAGGGCTCCATCAGGCACAGATCTTCTTTCTTAAAGTTGCAGAAGGCAAACTCCCGAAAGGCTCTATGGAATGTATCATCACAAATACTACCCGTCTGGAAAGAAGGATGGTATTATTTTGGTTAATAAAAGATTTTGAAGTCTGGTATTCAAACACTTTGAAAAAAAAAAAAAAAAAAAAAAAAACAGCCCTTACCCGACCAGTGCAAAGAGATCGATGTTCAAGCATCCTTATAAATGCTTGTTGGGATAAAGCTGGGCTGGCTAATTTCATCTGCTCAAATGATGTGAACAGATCAAATTTGAACAGCATTTGGCAGCTGGTGGTTGCTGGCCAGTATCTGCATTCAAGCAAGTCACTAACCCCAGGAGTCCATTTAGAAGGACAAAGTGGGCAGCTTATACACGGCAGACACAGGTTGTATGAACCTTAAAACAAACATGTGTTTACTATTTGACCAGTATTTGTACAGCACAGGACAAAAGTATATAGTAAGCCACTTTTATGGTTGACTTCATCTGGTTGGATATAAAAAGGTAGAAGGAAGTGACAAAACATACCGTTGATAGTCACCAATACAGTCTGCTTTCCTGGGAGAACTGTGAAGTCTTGGTTTGGACCACAGGAACAGATTTGCATTGGTAGAGGAATTGGAAGCATACACACTGCAGTACATTTCATAAAGTAATATCATTAATGTTTACACATTTACTCAACAAATTAAAAAATATTACTAAATAAATATATTCAGTTAAAGGAAACTGCAGAGGGCACCTACTACATTATCTGAACATACCTTGTTCACTGAGTTGATACTGACCACTTTCATCAACCACCACTAAGGATGTTGGTGGAATAGGTTTTAAAAAACCATCAAACATAGCTTCCCTATCATGAAAAACATTTTTTCTGTGGATCTCGGTGTCACATGTTGAACAGAAAAACTGATTTCCTGAGGGAACACAGTCTAGGCACCGGACAACAGCATCAACAGTTTTGCATTGTTGACAGCAATGCTGGGTTACTGTCTCTGCAACCAACATGCCATTTAAGATCTCTGGCATTGCAGCCCTGAATTTTCTTTCAGAGATGACCTGTCTTTTGGTCCATGCAGACAAGGTAGGTGTCTCTTCTACTTCCACTGATGCAGAGACAATGACAGAAGTTAACAGGTCTTTTAGCTTCTGAAGATGTTGATCTAAATGAATAAAAAGAAAATAATAATAATCATAATATATATTAATAGAATAGAATTAGGGAAAAGCCAGTTGCAATAACGAATTTTAATAAAGCAAATTGTGACATTTTAAATTTAAAAGCTGAAATTATTTAGGTTTTCAATTCAATATGCTTACCAAGACTTGGACCCTGTTGCGGAATGTCATTTATTTGCACCTCCTCAACCTCTGAGAGCTCCCTAGTGCTGGCAGGTTTAACTGCAAACACAAGATGTAATGATATAGAAAACATTACTGCTGACCAAAAGCTTAGACACTTGTGAACAACAGTATGCAATGCATGTATATTTTACTGACCAGATCGATTCTTCCTGACACGTTGTGGAAGGATGTTCCCATGCTGGTCTCTCTTCCTCCAGGAAACAGTGGAGACTTCAGTGCCCCTTTTTTTCCTTTTCTTTTTAGTCTAAAAGTAAAAACTAAATGATAAATATGGGAGAAGCATTTGCAATTTTCTTTTAAATTGATAAAAGATAGAGAAATGATAGAGAAATAATGTATGAAATACTTTTTGGGTTTCCAACTCATCAGCCATGGTTTTTGCTGCTTCCAGCCATTCATTGAATTGTTTTAATGACTCCGATGCCATTTGTAGATGTTTTTAGATAATATAAGTATAAAGTAAAAGCACAAATAAATCAAAACAGGAAAGAGAGAGGAGGAAAAAGAAACTGGCTCTTAAAGGAGCTGATTGATTTGTAAAATATTTCAGTGATGGGTACCAAAACCTGAAAACAAACAGATAAGATGATTAGTCAAAACAACCATGGCTCTGTAAGAGTCCACACATACTGGTCCTTGTCAACCTGTGTGTGCCTCCCAGTCGTTTCCAATCCTGGTCCTGGGGACCCACAGCTCTGCAGTTTGTGAGATTGTACATCTCATTCATTTAACACACCTGATTCTGATCATCATCTCGTTGAGAAAGAGCTCTGAACTGAACTGGGTGTGTAAGATAAAGGAGACTTTATGTGCAGAGCTGTGGGTCCCCAGGACCAGGATTGGGACCACTACACTAGTGGGTATTATTTATTTTGCATGTGAAGTGGGGACACTTAATATTCAACTGATCTGCCAGTATTGACACCATTATATGAGAACTGGATGAGTGACATCACTGTTTTCTCCATAGCTTAAAAAAATCAAGCTGATTTGAAACAATATGTATTGTAAAAAGCACTATATAAATATACTGGGATATATTCTGGGATATAGCATATATTGGGAAACTGACAATGTTTAGGTATTATGCAAGTCTAGGCCATAATTTAGGCTTATTACTATTTGCCATCCATTTGAAATATAACGTTACTGTGCTACAAACTGAATTTATTTTAATTAATTTTAAGGAATAATTTAGGAAAAATCCCATTAAGAATCCTGCTTCCATAGTTTATTGAAAACCGAGGATTTTACATGTAAGCTAGCAACATGCTGCTAGCGATTAAGCTAGCTGTTAGGTAGCATTAGGTAGCAACATTAGGTAGCAAGAAAATAACGTAAGTTACTTTCTTAATGAGTAAAATGGCAATCGCGACTGATTTGTAACACAGACGTCAAACTGCAATTATTAACTTCCACATGAATTACAAAAAACTAACACAAATATATCTAAATATAGATATATAAACACAATAGCACTTAAAATGTACACCTTACCTGCTACTACGTTACGACTGTCAAGGAAAAACCTGGTCACGCCCCCTCCTCTTCTTCTTCTCCTCATTTTTCTTCATCTTCCTCTTGGTTCATCGGTTTTATTATTTTTTTATTCAGCGCAACAAGAACGTGGTCATCGGTTGATATTGTTAAAAAAATAGCTAAATATATATATATATATATATATATATATATATATGTGTGTGTGTGTGTGTGTGTGTGTGTGTGTGTGTGTGTGTGTGTGTGTGTAAACACTGAAAATGTTTTAAAAGCACTTAGATGATATATATCATGGTTTTATCATCTGTAGTGCTTTTATTTTTTTTATTTTTTAACCTTGTTACAAAAGGTTAATTTTAAGTTATTTTAAAAATAAATAAATAAATAAATAAATAATTGATAAGAGTTTAATTATTTTGAAGTGATTCTTTACTTTCCAATATTTTTTGAAGAAAAAAGCACATGAAATGCATTCAAATACACACCTCAGTTTTCTGTATTAAGTAATCTCGAGTAAATTTAATGATAACGACGGTCGTCATTTCATGACACCATTTCATGACACAGACCGTCATTATTAAAATGAGCGCTAGAGGGCGTTTAACTTTAAAACGTAAATATAGGTCGTAATGAGCTGTTTGCACATACGACCTTTATGGTCGTATTTGGGAGGAGGACAGTCTCTAAATAAGTAATTAAAAAAAAGTGTGTTTTTCTGGAACTGGCTTATTCGTCGAGCCATTCTAGACTCAGGCCCTCTCCACGGTAAGAGCCTCTCTTTAGTCATATTTGAGCTGTGTGCCAACAGTGATGTCCTTCAGTGCTTTAAATAAGATTATATCCTTGTCTTCCCCATTAATTTTCATCTTGCAATGGAACGGTTTAAGGTTTGGCATCTTTGAAGAATGGTTTATTCTTCTGCCAAAAGTGTTTGTAAGAGGGTGGCTCTCGCATGGATAATTCTGTGAATCTACACACAGTTCTCTTTCTCCAGCTTTGAAAAAGAAACAATATCCAGGCTCGTCGTTCAGGCTCTGCACTATGGCCCTCCCTTCAGCCGCTGTGATTACCTTTCCATGGTAATCACAGACTATATCGTTGGTGTAAAACCGTCGGGTTGCGACGACTCCTATAATAAAGAGAACAATAAAAATGACATGTAGTTCATGGCTGCTGGAATGCACATTTTACATTATTGCTTCTTCTGCCCTTACAAGACAAATGAAGAGTTTTCTTAGCTAGACCTTGCTCTGCACCAAAGTGCTTGATGGCGAGCCCCGTCCATGTCTGCTGGGACACGCACTGAATGACAAAACTGTCTTCTTCTACTTTTTGCTTTGGAGCTGGTCTCCACTGCAGCACAATCTCCTCCGGCTTTGGCCAGTTCACCGTCCAGCCCTCCTGTGTGATAAGACCTTCGCTGCAGACGGTTTGCGCAGTCTGAAGTATGCTGAAAGGCAGAATGAAATAACTTTACTCATGTGATTCACTGTAAATAAATGGCCTAGTTCGTGTCGAGTCAGTGTGTGTTAATGCTGTATTGATGGATTCGGAGACTTACACAGCAGATGTTTCTCCCGCTGGGCGTACTGGGCGGCCCTCCATTTATTATAAAAGACACGGTCTTCTGGAAAACCGTATTCCACCCTTTTCTTTTTACATGGAGGCAGACCCTCCAGCGAAACTGGAAATCTTTCAATGAATTCCCCAAAGTCTCTCCGATGTCCCCCAGAAGCGCCAGGCGTAGCCAAGGATGTCTCGTCCGCAGACCCGCTTTGTAAGTGAGGAATACAAGGTTTATAATATGCAAAAAAATATGAATGAAAACTTGCTAATGTGCTGTGCAAATAGTTTGTGATGAGTTATGTCCTGGTTGGACGAAGAGACGTACCTGGCCAATGATTCCTGTCCATGACATCCTGAGGCTGGGCCGCACCAGCGCTGAAGGACAGGTAATTCAGTAATGCCCCCCTTTGTTGCTCTGGGAGCTGTTTCAACTGCCCTCCGCACACACTGGCTGGTGAAAGGGGCCATCTCATACCTGCAGAAAGACAATGAAAAATCAAATGTTAATTGTGCTGTGACTGACAAAATGTGGATCCATTCACACACACGCATACCAGGTTGCATTTTGAAAGTGACACACTTCCTGCTGCCAGTTGGTGGCGCTATAACTTTGACTCACAATAGTCACATCCATGTGATCGTCACATCAGAGTTAGAACTGCTTCATGTTTTAGTAACAGTTTCTTGTTGAATCCGGTGTTGAACTCGTGGAGATTCTGGAAGCTGTCTTCCGTAAATGCGCAGCACAGAGAGCTAGATTACCATCGTCATTTTCAGGAACATAATCAAACATAAATTGTATCCATTGTTGAAGTACAGCGTCTGTGGGAAGCTGAAACACAGAAGACCTGACAGCTGCGTGAACAACACACTCGACGAGCTGGAGCTGCTGAAATATGGTCATGCTCTTTTCTGCTTATTCTGGAGGGAGGGTTGATGCAAATGTGTGGGTTAGTGACGTACCATAACCCAGCTGTAGTCCCAATCCAGTCGTTTTTGTAGGCAATTAAACTTCCTGATTTTTAAAGGACGATATCTCTGCTTACACTGAACTTTCAGCGCTGCAACTTTGCAGATACTGTTCATGCACCAACAGCAACATTACACACTATTTAACATGAAAAAAGTGAAATCGCAATCAAACGCCCCTTTAATATTCATCAATTGCGAAATCATGTTAAACACAGAGAGGAAATAATAAAAACGTAACTTCACTCAATGTGAAGTAGAAGTTATCGTTGGCGAGGTGGAAAAGAGGAGAGAAATGTTGTTTGGAGGGCACAGTGTGGACATTACTAATGCCAAAAAGGCCCTTGAGTGGCAAAAGGTAACAGACGCCGTAAATGCTGTAGCCTCACAACCTCGGACTGTGGCCAAAATAAAAAAGAAATGGTCGGACATCAAAGTCGAGGCAAAAAAGCGTCTAGTCATTAATTCAATTAGAGAGATGGCCAAGGAGTTGAGCGAAATCAAGACTGTCCAAACTGAAATAAACTGCACAATGAGGGAATTCTTCAATAAATAATATATTTTTCCACACCTTTTGTTGTGAAGATGATGCTTCGAATCCTTCCATTTAATCGCCACATCTTCTAAGAGCTCAAGATCAGCCATTGTGCGTCATTATACGCATTGTGATGGGGCATTTTATTTACATTTAATTCTGCATCTGACAAGCTACGGATGTCAATTATAATCTAAATGGGAAATAGTTCAGCGCAAATGTAATTTCTTGCAGCTTTCTGAATGTTTTATTTTTGATAAAATAACGTATGATGTGTCTCAACCAAACTATAGGCATATGCATGAATACCATGATTCTGGAGCTGATGAAGATATTTTATGATGAATACAACTTTCTCCAGTGGACAAATAATACACTAGGCTATATATCTCCCTAATTATCTATCTATCTATCTGACTGACGATTTAATTGCTACATCTGCTCCGTTAGACGGACATATTGGCGAGAATATCAGTTTTGTACATTATTTCGTTCTGTTTACCATCTTATTTATGAGAATGAATTGTATAAGCCAATATTATTGAAGAACATATTAATTTCTTTTTTGGAAATATGTGTTAATTTGCATTTCTGTTGCAGATCGATCAAACGGGTGTTCGTGTAGGCTGTTAATTGTAAGACTTGCTTTCTGAAGTCTTCGTGTTATTTATGAGAGGCAGTATTGCCATTTATTTTACATAACCGTCTACACAACCGTTTCACACACATTCACGTGTTTTTCCATCTGCCGACGGTGTCGCCATTTCTCATTTCACCCGTTTTTGTGCGTACGCCTGGGTCAGAGCTGACGTGAAGGACCGCACATTTTACCGTCAAGTTTGCTTTTTATAAATACCAACTATTGCGTAGAGAGCGGCGTACGCCTTCTTTTGTGCGTACGCAACGTTTATAAATGAGGCCCCTGGAGCTTATCTCCTGACTTGTGTATAGGCTTTACTATGGCTGTTTTCAGAGCAGTAGGGAAAGTACTTTCATTTATAGACTGATTTATAACTTTAGTTAGCACCAGAGTTGGGTAAGTTACTCAAAAAAAAGTAATCCACTACAAATTACCAATTTTTACTTTAAATTTAATTTACATTACTGATTACTGCATGTAAAAAGTAATGTGATTACTAATTACTTGACTTTCAAGTTACTTTGAAAACCTATTAAAACTACACAAAATACATTACAAAGTGAAACTCAGTTCTTTCCGTAATTTAATATTGACTGAAAAATATTACAGAAATATGAAAATAGCAATTTGACTAAAAGATCCAATGCATTTCTAGAAAATTCTAAGCATAAACCTGACTAACAATGGAAACTTTATATTTTTAATGTCTACAGTATTTAGCGTCTACACTCAGTAAGTATCTTAAGTTTATTGACATTAGTAACTGTAATCAAATTACATAAATTTTAAATGTAATGAGTTACATTACTGCGTTATCACGAAATGTACTGTAACACGTTAAGCCCGGTATAATAAACAGAAAATTTAAGAAAAAAAAAACAATTTTTAAATTTGGGAGACTTTGTTTTTACGGCACTTTTCAATAGTTTTTTAACCTTCTTTGATGCCTCTTTTGACTTTTGTACGGCCCTGACTATGTCTGGATGTAGTCTCATTACAGGATATCAGATGACCTTATCAGACTTCAGAGTGGACACCCCCGACTCCTTCTTGTCCGCATCCTCTGGGCTGGTGCTGGTGGGCGTCTCGCTCGAGGAGGTGCTTGGTGCAGCTCGTTTACAGGGCTGAGGGGCCTTTCTCAGAGCACTTGCACTTCTTTGGGTTTTCAGTTTGCGGCGGTGACCTCTCCTCTCCCTGCAGAGCTGCCTCCAACAATCGTCTCTGTTCCACCGCCTGCTTTGCAGTCAATCTGCGCCTTTTCGTCAATGGGCGTGTCCGTGGCGTCGAAGATTCGCCATGAAACAGGAAGTTGTAGTAACTTGGCTGTAAATGCCCAGATCTGCACCAAATTGTACACATTTGACAAGAGTCCCGCTCTGAACAAATCTACATGCCGACATTCACCCACAGTCATAGCACCACCTGCTGGCAACAGGAAGTGACCTTTAATGAAGCAGCGGTAACGTTACAGCTGGTGAAACGGCAAACAGACACGAGTGCTCCTGCCAAATTTATACTCATTTGTCTTCCATTTATTGTGTCCAAATAGACCGAGAAGAAGCTTTTTTTTCTGAAACAATGCCATATCATGTTGATATGTGATCTATAACTCCTCCCCGAACTCCCTGCTGCTCTGTATCTTGCTCTCTCACTGGCTGCCGGTGATCGCCGATGTAGTTTTCAGTCAAAACACTTTTCACACAGCAGGATTTTGAATCGCCGACAGGTCCAGATATTTAGCATGCCAAATATCTCACGGGCGTCGGCGACTCGTCTGTGATTCTCTCAGTTCGCGTCTTTGCTCATTCACACTGCGTGATTGTCACTCGCGTGAATGAGCGCCGATTTGCCTGTGATTTCGGGCATTTGTCGGCGATTTCTCAAAACCTGTCGGCGAGCCAAAATCGTGGCTAAAATCATGCAGTCTGAACTCAGCTCTCTGTAGGAACATTGAAAATGTGTTGAATATTAACACACCACTCATTCAAATGCATAACATATTTGTTGAGATATGCCAGAGATCCTACTTAGAAATGATGATTTCATGAAGGATTTCACGAAACGTTTTCTGATGTTGACCGTTGACCTGCAGACTTCCTTCTACAGGGATGATCTATGGAAATTACACTTAAACATCACTTCAGTCATTTTTGTATGTTTAAGAAATAATTCTGCTTAAAAATCAGTGACTAAACATCTATTTACATAAATAGATATAATATTTAAAATACATTTTGAACTTATGTATGTGTTAGGTGCAAGTCACCCTGTGCCCTGTAAGACAGTAAATAGTGCTTCTACAATGAAATTGTATATGGATAAATTGAGCACATACTTTGAGAGCGACGGTCTCATTGGAATGGGATATAGCTGAGAAGACCTCTGCAAATTTCCCTTCTCCAATCTTTAAACAGTGATTCATGCCAGCTGGAGGGATGCATTCACCAAAGGAAAGTGGGCCGCTCTGCTGACATTCCCGATACACTTTTTCAGCATCGCTGATATCCTCATCACATGAAGTCTGGAACACAAAGGCAGAGTAAAAAAAAAAAAATGGGAGAAGAGACATCATGTGCTCTGAGTGTAACCCAAGCGACGCTCCGGATTCTTTAAATGTGTCTCTCGACTTGCAATTATGCAATATTG